ATATATATGTAAATGATTAATCTGCACTATTAAAAGACTACCGAGCATTACATTATTTTATTTCACTTCACAGCTCAAGGTTATCGACCTCATTCTGTTGAAGCCAATAAGGAGGAAGTGAAACGTGAATGTGTCGCCACTTCACCCAAATGAGTTTGTTGCTCTCTTCCAAAACATGCTGAGTTCATCTCTTTCTGAAGGCCTAATAAAGCAACACGGGGCCAAAATTATGAGTATTGTTAGATCTGATGTTGAGTGAGTTCTGATTAGATTGCTCCTCACAGAACATAATACACATGATGAAAATCTCTTCATCATTCTAGTCAATTTAATTACTTGAAAACACAATGTGAGCTGAATTTTCTTCAGCTGAGCAGATTACAGATTGGCTTGTGATAAAGACCAAAATGCAGGAACCAAAAAGGCGAGCATACACAGTATATTACAGTATATAAATATATTGAAAAGACCTTAAAGAATGAAGTCTAAAATGATGCTAACAGATTTACAAAGTACGCAAAAGTATGTTCATATTTGTTTGTTCTTCTTCAATGTGGTGACTGCATTTATAAAACGGACATTAAAATAAACTAATCATTAAGATTTTTTGCAGCTTTTTTTAGCAACAGGTGCATCATTCTGAGATCTAAAACTCAATTTTTGTGAAATATTGTCATCTCTTTTGTGTTTGTTTGTGGTCGATATGACTCACTCAGATTGTAAAACTGAACTATCATCAGATTTTTTTTAAATTTGCTCATCATTACCTCTGCAGTGATGTGTTCTACTTTAGCTGTTAGAGAATAATATTTTTATTCAAAGAGATAATAGTGCCCTTAAATGAGGTCTGAAATTATGTAAAAAAAAAAGAATAATATGTAATGAATGGGAGTTTTGTCGTTCGTCTGTGTCATACCTTTCAGCACAGTTGTCCTGGCAACGAAACACAGTCATTTTTTTGTAGTCAAAAAAGGAAACTCCTCTCAGTGCTCGTTTCTGAGTGTCATCCACATAGCAGCCGAAGTACTTCGCTGAAAAAGAGAATCAAAAAATAAGCGACACTCGCACTAAATCAACACATTTGACACAAATATACAGATATTTCTAACGCGGGGATATTCATCAAACCAAAGGGGGGAAGAATAACGTAGAAGAAAAGAATCAAAAGTGAAAATCATCTGTAACCATTTTCTCCACAAGGCTGCTGTGCTGTAACAGAGCACACACAGAGTCAGAACTGGGACAGGATCTTTATTTATTTATGAAGACACACATCCCCTTCTAGTGGCTTGTAACTGTAGTCGCAGTCATATCACTGCATTTTTTTAGTGTGTGTGTGTGTGCTAGAGTGAGTGTGTGTGTGAGAGTGAGTGTGTGTGTGTGTGGGAAGGGGAGTTATGCGAGGGGAAAGGGCCTGGGTTTTGGTGAAACCTCTGCAGAGGGATTCAGTGACCCTTCAACAGTGTCTTCCCTTTAATAAAATGATCTTCTYTCAATCTTCTCAACTGATGTGCCAGTGACAGCTCCACCAACACACCACTTGTCTGTCACCCGGCCTCTCAGTCCTTGAAGGAAAAAAAAGGAGAATAAAAAAAAATCTGTTGCTCTAATTGTTGTACGGCTGGTCTGAGCCTCGGCAGCATGTGGTGATCTGCAGCAGCTCTTTTAGTAACACTGAAAGAAAACCTGCTGTAAGGCAGAACGTTGGTTAAAAAGGCTCCGTGTGTTCAGAATGACAYGAGGTCGGAGGAGCAGATGCACCTGAGTGAGCCCTGCTGAGTCACGTTAGTGTTTTACTTATTCCTTCTCGTCAGTAAAGTATGCAGCACTCTGCGCTATTGCACCACACAGAATAAAAGTGGGCTGCAGCCTGCCTCTTCCACTGCACTGTTCACTTTAAATTACATTCAGAATCAGAGAGAGAGAGAGAGAGAGAGAGAAAGAGAGAGAGAGAGTGTGTGTGTGTTTGGACTAAGAGGAGAAATAATATTCCCTTTAAACCAAACATGAGAGGGTTCTGAAGACGTTTTAGGCTACAGAGTAATGAGTGCTGCTGGATGCAAGAGGGAAAACAAATGCTTTGAAGCTATTAATTACTCCATCATCACATTCAGCTGCTGTCCCAAGAGGTAAGTGTTACAGAAAAGGGAGATGTGTGAGGGGAGGAGGAGAACTGAGCCAGACTGAGAGACCTTCATTTAATCAGATAACCCAAAGCTTTAATGTACATTAGAAACATGTTGGTTTTCCTGTCCTTAAGTTGGGGAAAGCTTCAGCTTTTAAATCACTGTTCTTGTTCTGTCACTTTCCTGTGACTCAAAGGGTTTTGTAATAAGAGAAAAAAACTGATTAATTTAGACTTTTTGAAAAAAAAAAATCACACCTACTTGTTATGTTTCTGGGAAGTTTGTGGTCTGTCTGTGCAAAATTATAACCAGAAACTCTATATCACTAAAACAGAGCTGCAGCAGAAAACTTAATTTAT